TTAATTTTTTTGTCACTGATGTATTATTTAACTTATACATCTATTTTTCTTACATCTCTTCTATTTGTTTATTGTCTATTTTGACCAAGAACAATTTTCTTGCCATAAAGTATGATAAAATGAATTTTTGATATTTGGTAAGGGGAAATTGTCGTTTACATTAGTGTCTAAAGGTATTCTTTATTTATTGTACTGGTTACATCCTTCTTGTTTATTTGTTTTTCTTCACAAAGATTTTCCTTCTAAGATTTACGGAAATTAAAAACCCATATTGCAGTTGGTACTTTGTTTACAGATGCTCTAACGAATGAATTGGAACTAACGTTTAACCATTTTTTTTAAATTTCAAATCCAAGAAATTATTATTATTTCTTCATGATGCTTCACCTTTATTTTTACTTCTGGCATTGCTTATCTGTATATCCACTTATCATCATCATCATTAATTAGCCTCTAACGTCCACTGATGAACATAGGCCTCTCGCATGCTTTTCCACTTTTTCGGTTTTGCGCCATCTGAATCCAATTTGTAGTCACTCTTTTTATGTCATCTGTCTTTCTCGTTGGGGGTCGGCCTTTATTTCTGTTAGTTTGTATTCGGCGTCTTCATTCCAAAATTCTTTTGGTCCACCGGTCATCAACTGATCTTGCTACATGACCTGCCCAGTTCCACTTTAGTGTTGTTATCCTTTCAATAACGTCTGCTACTCCTGATATTTTGCGTATAGTAGCATTGAGTATTCTATCACGTAGAGAAATCCCTAACATTATACTCTCCATTGCCCTTTCCGCAACTTGTAGTTTACTCACTGTGGTTCTTGTGAGTGTTGGGGTTTCTGCGCCGTAAGTCATCACTGGCAAAATAAACTGATTAAATACTTTTCTTTTCAGACACATTGGAATCTTAGACCTAAACATATCCTTCATCTTTCCTAATGCAGCCCAAATGAGGTTTATTCTTCCTTTTAGCTCGATTGTTTGGTTGTCTCGACTTATTCTGATCTCATGGCCCAAGTATTTATAGGAGTCAACTGACTTAATATCCTTGTCTTCTACTGAGATGTTTTTGTTATGGACTAAATTTGTCATAAATTGTGTTTTTAAAAAACTTATTTTAAGACCAACTCTTTTTGTGCAGTATGGAGTTCTTGGAGCATTATCTGTGCCTGATCAAAGCTGTCTGCAATAAGAACGATACCATTTGCAAATCTAAGGTTATTTAAAAATTTTCCATCTATATTTATGCCCTTTTCGTTCCAATCTATTGTTTTAAAAGCGTATTCTAGCAAAGTTGTAAATAATTTAGGAGACATGTTGTCTCCTTGCCGAACGCCTCTTTCAATACGAAAGGTGCCAGTATCTTCATTAAGTTTTACACATGCTGTAGTATGCTGATAGATGTATCTGATAAAGGATATGTATCGGTGATCTATTCTACATTGTGTTAGAGCTTGGAGCATTTCACTTTGATTGATCGTATCAAATGCTTTTTTAAAGTCGACAAAGACAAGTATCAGGGTTCTATTATATTCAATGGTTTTTTCAATTAACGACTTAATGGTTTGCAAATGATCATTTGTTCCATGTTCAGCTCTAAATCCTGCTTGCGCGCAAGGTTGATAGAAGTCTAGTTTTGATGTCAACCTATTAGTTATTATCTTCATAAACAACTTATAAACGTGAGATAACAAGCTAATAGGACTATAGTTATTTAGTTCTGTTATATATCCCTTTTTGTGTATGACTATTATAACAGCTTTATTCCACTGAGATGGTGTAACCTCTTTTGTAAGGCATAAGTTATATAATTGTGTCAATGCTCTTGACATTTACATCTTGTATCCGCTTTGACAGTTGTATCCACTTACATCTGCAAATAATAATCATTTCTTTTCCCTTTATTTTTATGTGGAAGCGGCTTTCAAATTACAGTATTTATCCATGAGCTTCTATCTTAAATCATACCAAAATTAATCCTCCTCAGAGACATCTCTTGCCTAAGGATCTTCCTTAGGTTTTCCTTAATATTACTATTCTATTCTGTTCAAGAATTTTAAAGTAAACAATCAGTTTATTTCCTTGTCTGCGTCTGTAGCTTTCGGTAAATAAGCAAGCAATTTAATTAAACCCAGCTTGTAAGACATGTTCACCCCTAAGAATTACGTTCGTGTGTAACAATTCATTGGAGCGAGGTGTATAACTCGAGTTAAAAACAAGAATCACTCCATCGCGCTCCAATGCTACAGACCAGCCCCCTATAGCACTCTGATGCACGATAGCGACACAACTATAAGCTAAATGCTCTTCGTGTGGAAGTTCTCGGTACTAGAACTTCAACATGGTTCCTTAACCGTTCAAAATTCAGGACAGCGTGAGTCGCTTTATTCCTGTTATCTTAATGTGACTTATCCGCGAATCTACAATTACTAACTTGGGCCTCAAGTATCCGCTTTGGGCTAGGCTCAGTTCGGAGACTTGGTGCTCAAGGGGTTAGGCCCTACTATTTTTTTTTGTGGCTTTCGTCGATTTTTCTTATTAGTTTTACTATTTAAAATAAACTATCTGCTTTTGTGTGGTGTTGTTATTGTTTTGGTTTTATTTTCTCTCTTGGGATTTTTTTCTCTTTGATATTTTGTTTGTTTTCTTTCCACTATTTATATTGCATATGTATCCCCATTCGAGAGATGCATGTGTTAGTATAGGAAGAATTATACTTTTTATTAATCTTATTTTTGTTTTCATTCGCAGTTTGCTTTTTCTTCCTGCTAGTCCTCTTATTGACGCTTTTGCTACCTTTTTTTATTGTGGCGTCTACGTGTTTATTAAATGTTAAGCCTTTATTCATGATTATTCCTAAATATTTTTCTTCGCTTTTGTTCTCGATTGGGTTGTTTGGCACTCTTACTTGTTTCTCTGGTTATTGATGCCTCTTTTTAAAGAGTACTGCCTGCGTTTATTCGAAGTTTAATGCAATTTTCCATTTTAAACTCCGCTTTTTCGCAATGACTAGGTTTCTGTGTTTGGCAGCTATCGCTATGTTATCGGTATATAGACTTAATAAAAATCCTGGTGTTCTTGCTACATCGGCTGTCTATGTAATGTATAGCAGAGTTAACAGGACCGCTCCCTGTGGTACTCCAGCCTCCGAGTTTCCGAGTTTGGACAGGACTTATCCTATACGAACTCTGAAACTACGGTTGCTCAAATACGATGAGCTTGTCATTACTCCGCGGTAACCATATCTTTTCATTTTATAAATTAGTTCTTTATGCCAAACTCTGTCGAAAGCTTTGCTTACGTCTGGGAAGGTAGCTCCTGTATGTTGTTTATCGTTAAATCCAGCTGATATGTACTCTGTTAATCTGAGTTCTTGTAGCTCGCTGGAGTGCTCTGATCTGAAAACGAATTGTGCTTCTGGTATTATGTCTAGTCTGTCTGTTTCGACTTGGAGTCTGCTGAGTATGACTCTCTTTACAATCTTACTAATTGCAGGTAGCAAGCTTGTTGGCCTGTTATTTTGCGGAAATCTTTTCCTGGCTTTGGTATCATACTGACATGGGTCTCTTTCCATCGGTTTGGGAATTTCTTGAATCTTATCATCGCATTTATAATATGTCCGTTAAATATACTATGGCTCTCCCCGGTAAATATTTTAAAGCCATGTTCGTTATTTGGTCTCGTCCAGTTGTAACTTCCGGTGACTTTTATAATCTTCTTATATATGTTAACTGGGTGTTGTAATTCCTGTAGAATTTCTGTTTACAAGCTATACAAGACATATACAGCATTTTTCGTTCAACTAATTTTGCTTTACTTTTCATAATTTCTTTTGTATTTCTCTATGTACTTTGGCATATCTTGTTTTGTCTACAGGCTTAATCATCCTTCTGTTTTCCATTAACTTGATTATTTCATCGGTCATCCAATCTTTTTTCTATTTTAATATTTTTTATTAAGTTAATCTTTGCTTTTTTGTAATATAGTGTCTTTTAAATTCTTTCACTGTATGTTTACATTCTGACATTTACTGTTATCAGTTGTAGCTGGCAGTAGTTCTGGATTTATTCTCTTTTCAACGTTCAATTTTATTTTCCTCTTTCTCAGTGTGGAGAAATTAATGTTGTATAAACGTTATCTCTGTTTAAATTGTTTTAGATTTAATCTGTATTTAAAACCAATTGGGTGGTGATCAGAAGCTACGTCAGCATCTAGACACGTCTTTAAGTTTTCTTCTTCTTCTAGTGCCATCTTCAATAATGAAGGTTGGCTATAACCATTGCAAAGTCGTCTCTATCTTCTGCTTTTCTTAAGAGCGTCCGTGTGTTTATCCCGGTCCAGTGGCGAATGTTTTTTAGCCAGGATATTTGTCGTCTACCAGGACCCATTTTTTCGATTTTACCCTTCATAATCAGCTGCAACAACTCGTACTTATAATTTCTAAGTATGTGCCTCAAATATGCTGTCTTTCGCTCTTTAATGGTGGTCAAAAGTTTTCTATCTCTGCCCATTCAGTGCAACACCATTTCGTTCGTATATGATCGGTACATGGTATCTTCAAAATTCTACTAAAAAGCCACATCTTAAAAGCTTCTAGTTTTCTCATTAAGTTAATATTAACAGTCCAAGCTTGAACACCATAAAGAAGAATAGAGTGGATATAACATTTTACAATTCGATATCGGATTTCCAAGTCTTTGGTTACTCAGAAATTTCCTCATCTTCAAAAAGGCTGCTCGTGATTGCTCTATTCTTTAGACTATTATAATATAACTTTGAAAAATAAGGCTATTATCGAGCACAAGTTTAATTAAATCTTTAATACAGTCATGACGTATGTGGTCTTCTCATCTCGTACGTCCATTCAACAACTCATTTCGATATCAAATTTGATTTAAAATCCAGGATTGATTTTATACAAGTCCTAAAACTAGGAAGCTTCCATCTCCGCCCTCCAGATCGTTATGATGACTTTCTTCTCCGCCACCACTGCCCTTGTGGAATGTACCCGTGACCCTGAACAAGAAGACATATATACACTGTTCTTTTTGCACAGGAAACATCTAGAATCTGAGGACGACAGGAATTAATCACTTCCTCTGATTCATCCTAAATCCTAATTTAGCACTTTTGCAATGTAGCAATTGTGGTTTATTCCAATCTAACATTTTTCAGTCAAAATTTTTCATGTATCTCTAAACAATTTGTAGTTCAATATTTCGTTTTTATTTCTTGGCATGTTATAACAAATATTTCATTTATACTGTTTATTTATAGTTTTTGGTGATGATGACAGTAATAGTAGCTCTTACTCACGGAGGACTTATCGGTGAAATTGGATTAGACAGTGGTCTTGGACTAAAGGGAGGAATCTCAAGCATTGGCATCCAAAGCATTGCTTTAGCTGGAAAGGAGGCTGTAGTTGATTTGATTGTAAGTGTAATAGTGACATAGTTTTTAATGGCTTACAAATTATTACAAATAAACTTACTCCAAATTTAATTGGTCAGAAATACTACTTAAGGTTTTATATTTTCAGGATATTTTTTTATTTTTGTTTATTTAGCATAGTTGTGTTTCTGCTTTAGTTACTAAAACATTAGTTCTGTCGCGTATCTCCCAGCTTCAGCTAGTTTGTTCTTGTAAAATTTTAAATCACTTACCTTTGCCAATTCTTCGAATTAAGTATTTAGTTGTCATTAATATACATTTTATTTCAGGCTCCTCCAAAATATGAATATAAATACGCAGTAGAGGATCCACACACTGGAGATCTCAAAGAACAGCAAGAATCCAGAGTCGATGACCTCACTAAAAGCGAATATGCTGTTGCGGAGAAAGATAGAAAAATTCAGGTATCTAGAATTATTGGTAAAAGCATTCCTTTAGTCTCCAAATCTATATCGCTAGGAAAATATTAAGAATGTGCCATCTGTTTTACATATAAGATTTGTTGTAATAGTTGTACTGATGTTTGTTATATATACATATTTTTTTAAGTTATACACTGTTCTTTTTGCTATAAAATAAATGTATCGTGTGAAAAAGTTGTTTTTTATGATTTCTTTTTATATAAAAATAAGCAAGTATTGAAAATAATACATAATAAAAGGCAATCAGCATAAGAAAAGACTCTTAAAGCTATGATATATAGGTAAACAGTCCAGTCGTCATAGATTTGGCATTTAAAAATCATACAAACAAGCTGAATTTCTCCTAGAATATCAATTTTGAGACCACAAAAAGATGCAAAAAAGATTACCACTCCTACCCCCTAAAAACCTCCACATAGGAGGGAAAAACTGAAACTATCGAATCTGTACATTGAAGAAAAAATGTTTTAAACAAGAAATGTAGCTCAGATCATTTTGAATAAAAATGTTTATTACCACTTTTAATGGAAAAAAACCAATAAACCTATAAATAATCCAATTGAAATAAAATAAGTATGGACTAAATATATTGAAGATCTTTTTATGGTCACAAGAACGGAACCAACAAAAATTGATAACGAGGAAGCTCCAATAATATTAAGATCTGAAGTCCAACGTACTATAAACAACTCAAGATCTGGCAGAGCCCCTGGGCCAGATGAAGTTCATATCAAGCTAATTAAACTTATAGACGAAGCCAATTTAAGTGCAATAACTATACTTTTTAACAACATATACAAATCTGGGGAAAAACCATGAACCCCAAACACTGTAATAACTATAGATTAATCAGCTTAATGAGCTGACCTCATTAATGAAACAGGTGACCAAAATCACGAGATAAAAAGACGTATTGAAATTGCCTGGTTTACCTTTATTAAAATGAAAAAAATATTTTGTAATCGTGATATTTGTATTCATCTACGAACTAGAATGTTAAAATTGCATTCAGCACTTTGCTTTACAGTGTTCAGGCATGGACTCTTAAACAGAGGAATATTAAAAATCTTGAAAGCTTTGAGATGTGGTGCTACCGCCGTATACTAAGAATAAGGTGGGTGGATAGAATTACAAATGAAGAGATTATACGCAGAATAAACAACGATGCAGAAGTTACTATAAATATAAAAAAGAGAAAACTTGAATAATTAAGCCACCTAATGAGAGGACAAAAGTACACGTTCCTACAAAATATAATGCAAGGAAAGATCCAAGGACGCAGAAATCCAGGCCGTAGAAGAATGTCCTGGATGAGAAATTTAAGAGAGTGGTTTGGCTGTACCAGTAACGAATTATTCAAAACAGCAGTAAATAAAATTAGAATCGCCATAATGATATCCAATCTCCGATAGGAGAGGCACTCAAAGAAGAAGAAGAATCAGCTTAACGTCACACCTGACGTTAAGGAGAAGAATACTGTACTTTATGCAAAGAATTACTTGATGACGATGAAAAATAATATGAATATTTTAAAATAAATAGGATTCATTTTAAATATATTTTAAATTTCATTACACCTTCTGTAAAAAAACAAAATATTAAATTTAACGAAGAATATATTATTTTATAATTTTTGAAAATTAGGGGTAGTTTTCATCCCTAAAACCCTTCAGAGCACTTCAGTTCGATATAGATTTTGATCCTTAGGCTATCACCTATCTTCTGTTAAAATTTCAACTCAATCCATGGAGGACGAAAAAATTGCGAGGTTTTAACTTTTTTTGAGCTTCATCTCCTGAACTAATTTGTTTTTTTTTATAAAAAATGAAAAATCGTTTATGTGGTGTGTGTGCCGGCCTTAAAGAAATATAGTTTTTGATCGCATTGAGAATGGTATTTGCTTCGGTATTTACTGTGGTTAATATTTTATTTGTGTGTGTTTTTGATACTTTTATTGTGACACGAAACTTTGACCCCAAGTCTTAAATGTTATTTGTTTCTCTGAAAATCAATGCAACCTACAAAATGAAATGTTATGAAATACCAGTATTAAATATATAAACTTAATTTACTGGTTTACCTTTATCATTAGAAACACGTCGTTAGGAGCATCAGAAACAAATTTCTGGACTTTTTCTTTTTCAAGTGTTTTTAATTGCTTTGGTACATAACCTGTACCATTTTTTTCTTGATAAACATAATTAACTTATCACTATTTTTCTCCGTCACACCATGCAATAAATTCAGCGTATGTTTTTTCGTACAACACTCTGCTTTTTTCAGGCAGTAAACTTTGAGAGTGTTAAAATTGGTCATAAATAAACGGTCGACGGAAAAGACAGTTAATAAGTCCGACGATAGTAGTCTGCAAAATGATCAAATCCTGTTGTTTTCATGCTAATTAAATATAAAAAAGAAGGGATCAGAATTTTGGTTTTAGGATTTTTGACAATCGGATTTTCGACGCTTCACTTTACGTTTTTTAACTATCAGATTCTATCCGATCTAATAGGCTTTTCTTAGTCTGTTCATGTTCAAAGACTCTTCTTCTTCTTTAAGATCTATATTCTATCGAAGGTTGAAAATCATCACGGTTATGTGAACTCTGTGGACTGCCGCTCTAAAAAGTTCTGCACTACTGTATTCAAACCATTCCCTTAAGTTCTTAAGTCAGGATATTCTTCGTCTTCCCACATTTCGCTTTCCTCGGATGTTGTCCTGCATAACAAGTTGTAATAATGCGTATTTTTTCCCTCTCATCACATGTCCTAAGTACTCAAGTTTTCATCTTATAATAGTTAATATTATTTCCGCCTCATTTCCTATCTTTCTAGTTACTTCCACGTTTGAGATTCTTTGAATTCATGATATATGTAGGATTCTTCTGTAACATAAAAATTCAAAGGCGGCCAGCTTATTCAGATGGACTTGTTTTAGCGTCCACGCTTCCAAGACATAAAGAAGAGTAGAGAATACGTAACATCGAAGCATTCTCAGGCGTAGTCCTAACCTTATATCCCGACAACAAAGAAACTTTTTAAGCTTAATGAATGATGTACGTGCTATTTCAATACGTGTCCTAATTTCTTTGGTTTGGTCTACATCTGATGTTATCGATGTTCCTAAGTATTTATAGTAATTAACAGTCTCAATTGCAGTATCTTCAATGGTCAATTGGATATTTGCATGTGCAGATTTAGTCATGATCACGCATTTAGTTTTATTTAAATTTATCTTCAGTTCGTGTTCATGACAGCGTTCATTAAGGCATTGCTTTATGTTTTGTAAATTATTGTTGTTACAAAAATACAGTACAAACTACTCTATTTTAGCTATTGTCATTATCATTTTTTGTTTTAAAATATGGCAAAGATTTTCGAGTTTTACACGTTAAGCCCCAAAACACAAACGCACTCCTTTTACCTCAGACCAAACGTGACCACATGCTTTAACACGTTAATACACTATGGGACAATTTTTTTTATAATTATGTTTATTTACACTCTAAATCATAAAAAGAGCATTAAGTAAATGTAATACAGGTTTTGCGCGTGAAGGGGAGCCATTCAATGATGTCTCACCTTATTCTATTTTGGTTTATTTCTGAAGAAGGTCTTGGGGCTTGGTTCTATGTAGTCTTTTTGTGGCTGGTCCATTGTTATATAATTCCCTTACTAGATCATTTTCGTGGTGAATGGTACGTTCATTTTGTGACTCCGAGGCTCGATGGATTTCTTCTCTGATGAAAGGAACCTTTAAGTCATAGTGGAGTATTTGGTTACTTACGTACCATGGCGCATCCACTATCGATCTTAGTACTTACTGAAATTTTTGGATAATAGTCAGCGACATTGGCTTTGCACAGCCCCATAGGTGTAGTCTGTAGAACCAGATAGGTTTGAGCATGGTTTTGTATAGAAGAATTTTGTTTTGGATGTTAAGTTTTGATTTACGTCCAAGAAGCCAATACATGTTCTATATGTTTCTTCCAAGTGAGACGTTGTTCAAGACGGAGGACAAGGTATTTAGCGTCTGTGACTGTTGGTATTCTTACATTTTCCATCCTCACAGGACTGCGGAGTTGATAGGACAGAGGTTGGATTGTTGTTCTTTGAATTTTACAGAGAAATATCTATTTGTTATGTAGGATTTAAGTAGGAGCAAATAGTTACTGGACAGTGCTATTTTTACTTTGTAAAGCAGACCTCTGTGCCTTTGTGGGCCAAATTGATACCAAATTGATACTCATGGTCTGTAGTAAAAAGTTTTTCAGGCAGAAATAACTGCAATCCATCACTGCGTTTAAGAAATTGAAAGGCAGGAAAGAACGTTCTGTTCAGTTGCCATCTTCACAGATAGTCAGGCAGCGCATAAGGCACTCAACTCTGTAAAGTTCAAATCTAAGCTAGTATAGGACTGCGTGTGTGCCCTAAATTAACTAGGAGACCGTAGCAAGGTTACAGTAGCTAGGGTACCGGACCATGAGTGTCATGAGGGTAATAAAAAAGCAGATGAAATGGCCAAACAAGGCTCATCAATGCCATTCATGGGACCGCAACCCTTCTGCGGCGTTGCAAAGTCAGTAACAAGAACGGCTACAAAAAAGTGGGTAGCTCACAAATCTCTGGAATGGTGGAGGAATTCACCAGGACAAAGACAGGCGAAACAGTTCATTAGAGAACATTCGCAAAAATTTACGGCAGACCTAATTAGCAAAGACAGGAAAACAATTAAAGCCATAGTAGGTCTTTTAACAGGGCATTGTAAGCTGAATAGGCACTTGAAGCTAATGGGATTATCAGATGATGACCTGTGCAGATTCTGTCACCTCGAAGAAGAAACAGCAGAGCACATTTTATGTCAGTGTGACAGTCTGGCAAATGTGCGGTTTTGTGCATTAGGAGAAGAAAATCCACCGGCAAATAGCTACATGGAAGTTACAGTCTCGAAGCTACTAGACTTTATAAAGAGGTTCAGGCTAGAGAACGTTATCTAGGACTAGAGAACCACAATAGATCTGAAAAGATCGCAGTGGAATATTCCGAAAGGCCACCTCTCTTAATCTAATCTAATCTAATCTGCAATGAAAACATGCTATGGACCAGTCTAGAGCACATGGGACTTAACGTGTTAATATTATGTTCTTTGTCCATTTTTTATGCTGCCAAATCTATGCTATATGCTATATGCTACTGTAAATTGAATAGTTTGTCTTTGTAAATTATGAGGTCTTTATTTTTTGTCATCCGAGGTAGTCGTCATTTAGGCGTGTCGTTTCCAATCCGTAGTTACAAAAGGGACCAGACTTCCTAGGAGATTGTCTGTGACCTTCCACTTTCTAATAAGCCCCAATAGACCAAAGCACAAATGTTTAGACAAAAAAGGCCGAAATCTATATTACAGTTTGGTTGTTAATATACACGAAATTGTTTACATATGACAACATAACACTTCATGAAATAATTGGATGTAAATTGGAAATAATGAGATGTCTGGAATATATTTCTGCTAGTTGAATATACCAACACTCTACTGTTTTATGCTTAGAGTTGTAATTTTTCTTCACATAACAAAATTTCGTATTTCTCTAAAGAAAGTTTCGGTAACTTTGAACAGTTTCCTTGAACAGTTGTCAAAGTTTGCACAAGTGTAGGATATGCTACTTACGTTAACATAAGCTTGGTTTTTCAAGTTTTCACTATTATTTTTCTAGTGCAGAATATTGTAGTAACTTTACAAATGCATTAGCCCAGACATAAGAAAAAGCATGAGAGTAAATTTTTATTATTTAATATATAACATATTACACAGAAGCAAGTATAAAAAATATATTTAAATATAGAATAACTCGTAGAGTTTATTTGGTGCAAAAATACTAAATATATTAATAATACCAAGTTCCTTTTTCAATAAATATCCGTATAGACGAGATCACATAAAGGACATATCCAAAGCTGTAGTAAGTACCATTCTTCAGTTAACATTGTTACTACCAACCCTTTCCGTGAGAGATAGGAACAGCACCTGCAATTATCCTGGATACTTGAATCTTTCTATCTTTTTCTGCCAAAGAGTAATCACTTTGAGTGAGGTCTCCCACTCTAGATTCTTCTTGGTTTTTGACATCGCCAGTGTGGTAATCTTGAACTCCATATTTGTACTCGTATTTTGGAGGAGCCTGAAATTATATAATATACCAACATAATACTAATTTTTATAAAATACAATACAAATCCCTAACATAAACAGTCAATGAGAACACTCTACTAAAATAAAAGAACGCATAGGGAAAGCAAGACCAGCGTTCGTAAAGACTAAGTATCTTTTGAGAAGTCACGATTTACCACCTAAAACCAAAATTTCTACCATAAAATGCTATGTATTTTCTACATTATTATACGAAGTAGAGGCATGGACGCTCTCTGAAGCTTCTTTAGGAAAATTTGAAGTTTCCGAGATGTGGTGTTAAAGACGCATCTTACGAATTTCATTGGTGGATCGTGTGACTAATAATGGGGTCCTACGTGGTATGGGCAAGGAATGATAGATTACTAACATAATCAAAGAGCAAAAATTAGAATACCTTGACCATATTATGAGAAATAAATACAGATATGGCTTATTGCAACTCATTCTTCAGGGCAAGGTATTTGGAAAAATAGGACCAGGTAGCAAAATATTATCTGGGCTTAAAAACCTAGGGAAGTGGTTTAATAACGTCTAAAACCGGACTAATCCGAATAGCAGTAAGTAAAGTTAGGAAAGTTATGCTGATCGCCAACATCCGGAACAAATGTGCAGCGTAAGAAGAAGAATAAAATGTATTCTATGTTTTAGTGAAAAAAACGTTAACAAATTTCATATTGGTGTATTACAAAACAATAATGTGTTATGAATATTAACTTTCTATTTTCTGTCTTCTATTATTCCAATACAATAGAAGCAGAATACGAATAGACGCGGAAATACGGTGCGCACTAGCATATTACAAATTACGCACAGTGCGCTCAGTTGATCGAGAAGCACGGAGCTGTTTATTTGGATACTTTAAAATCTTGTAATTGTTTATTTAATCAAAAAATAGATCAATAGTATAAGGTGAAGCTAAAAATTTTGAATGTTCAAGTTTATCAAACAAAGAAAAATAGGTGTACGCAATGTTATCACATAAAAACATTGTTTCTAAATATAGTACATTAGGAACCATTTTTAAATAATGACATCAAATAGACATACCAATTTTTTTCCAGAATGTGTATTGATATTGTGTGTGAAATACAATATACATAATATGCCATATAATACTTACCCAATATTCTACAACTGGTTCTTTTGCAACAGCTATACTATGGCTTCCGATATATGATGATCCACCTAAATCTAGACCACCGTGAAGAAGTCCTGCTTGGGCAATCGCCACAATTGTAGAGATGAATAAAACCTATAATAAAATAATGTATGACATACGCTGTTTTTTGCTTACACTGCAAGTCATAATAGGATTATTTAAATCTAAATGGTGAAAAAAAATAAATGGAAATACCAGCAAATCTTCTAGCTTAGGGATCCTCCAAAACACTTGTAAAATGGTCATAGAAAGGAGTCTGCTTCTGCTTCTTGGTTATTTTTTTACCTGTTGATACCAAGTCAGTCTTGAATCTAATATTATACAATTTAATTGTATAATATTAGATCTAGAATTAGTAATTGTATAATCTAATATTATACAATTTAATATTATTGTTTAGATACCTTAGTTCACTGACCAAATTTCAATTTGTAGCATTGACGCTTGTAGGACGCAATACTTCTAAATTGCCGCTTGTGGTAAATTAAACGATTTTGTATTTCTTAGGTCATCATCAGTGGCGTTACAGCTCTTTATGAGCCAAAGCCTTCTTCAGAACATTCCTCCATTCGCCTCTGTCTCTGGTAACTCTTTTCCATGCTCTAATCCCGATAGACTTCAAATCATTGGCTGTCTTGGTACCCACGTCTCGGTCTTTCTCTTCTTCGTTGTCCGATCGGCCCTCTTCGGTCAAAAACTTTTCTGACTATGGCATCTTTCTCTCGTCTGATTATTTATTTCTTAGGAGTCATGTGAAAAAGGATGGAAATATAGATGAGAATAAGGGAGAAAGAACGATAGAGTGGCAGCGAGAATGGGTATGATAGCGAAAAGGCAAAGTGAACGAAGAAACTTATTCCCGATCTGAGGTCGTGTTGGGAATATAAGTTCAGGACACTAGATTACTTTCTGACGCAGTTTCTTACCGGACATGGCAGGTTTGGAAAATTCACAAATAAAATAGACAAATTGCCTCAACAGACTGTACTGTTTGTGGGGTACCGGACGCTACCACCCACATGATAAAAATAATGATAAGAGGATAGAAAGAATAAAGAGAAGTACACTGTCTGATTTTTAGGGTGATGAAGAAGGAGTAGAAGGAGAGCGAAGGAAATTGAACCAGGCATCTAAAATCTTGTTTTTTTTTTCGAGAGCCAAGAATCGGTAAGGTGATTCCATAAGATATAAAAGAGACGAATGTCTCATCCCCGTTGAAACTCGAGGTGGTTTTAGAAGACCACTAAGAATACTAACACATATCAGAAAAAAAATTGATTTTGTAATACATTTTGTAAAGCAGTTTAAAGACACAGAATCACATTATAGTAGAGCGAAGATTATCGTATTTATCTTGATTCCACCCTGTCTATTTCTAAAATGTGGAAGATGTATAAAGAATCAGTTGTTGATTAATTTAAAGTTAAACAGTCGTTTTTTTCGACACATATTTGTAACTAGGTTTAACACTAGCTTTAAAAGGCCTTCAACAGATGTTTCAACCTGTCTTAGTACAAAGAAAAAATTAAAGTTGACAAATATGAGGCCATATTCCAAACGCTTAAAGCAGAGTACATTGTTCACTCTACTCGTGCTAAAGGGTTTTTTTAACCTTTTAAAAAAAGACGAACCTAAGTGTGTTATAATGTCGTACGACATGCAAAAAAATATGCCTCTGCCGAAGCTCCCAGATGAGAGTGTGTACTATTCAAGGCAGTTATACTGCTATAATCTGACGATAGTTGGTGGATGTTCTACTGGAACCGAAGCTTTACGCAAAGAAAAGGAATCAATTTACTGTTGGACCGGACACAAAATGAAAACGTCTTTGAATGAAATATCCTTTGCAGTATTTGAAAAACTTGAGTGCAGATCTAAATCTGCTTACTTTGACAGAAAAAGCAACTTAAGGCTGATAGCTAATGGGTGTTCAGACCAAAACAAAAATAGTATTGTATTAGCGAAGTGCATTGCTTGGCTGCACAGGACTAAAACTTCAATTACCACAGTGGAGCTTGTGTTTCCTATTACCGGTCACTAATATATGTCTAGTGATAGAATTTTGGTGGCATAGAACGAAGTGTAAAAAATACAATTGTGTAGCTTGAAGAGTATCATTCAGAGTTTAGTAAGCATGGGATAGTCAAACTTTTAGGAAAAGACTGGACCAACCAAGATTGGAAATGAGAAGCTAAAATTTGTGTTAAAACCCAACAAATCTTCATTTTAAAATTTAACTAGTCAAAAAGTTAATTCTAATCAAGATACAAAAGTCACTAACTACCAGTGGCGAAAAAACGACAGTTTTCCAAGTAAACTTTTGATTCAGAATTATTATAAGATTCAGATATTGTCTGCCGATCAAGCAGGTATCTAAAGAACTTTTGTTGTTAGTGTATTCATCATCATCATCAATTAGCCTATATTTGTCGACTGCTGAACGTAGGTCTCCCGTAAAAAAAAGTGTATTGATCGGGTTAAATTTTATTGACAAATATTGTATTAGCCCAATAAATTATTAACATTTTTAACAAATATTTCAACTTTTTTTATTTTCACCAAAAAAATCTTCGATATAGGGCAAACCCTGATGCACTGTTGCTGATATTTTACTGCTGACTTAAGATATCAGCGACACCATCAGCAATATTTTTGGTGACAAAAACGAATATCTCTACATGTTGGTTACAAACACGGCCAACTCCATATTTCAACGTTGAATATTCCTTTAGCTAAAGTAAAAAGCATAAATATTATTATTCCAAAATGCTCTGAAAATAATTATTAATCAACAAAAAAAATTCAACACCACCAATTGTGTGGAAGTAGTTTAAACAGTTTTTTACCTATACTGAAAATTTAGCTAAATTGAGTTGGCCATCTTTGAAACCAGGTTACAGATATCTTTGTTGTGTCCATAACATAACAACTAATGAAGTAGTATTTGATATCTATCATGAGGGTTCAGGAAATAAGGGGCCTAACGAGATTTGTAGGATGTAGAATGGATCTAAATACATTAGAGATTAAAGAATTACAGGTTTTTAGTGACGCTTGCGGTGGCCACAACCATACCATTATAAAAATGTTCTTAGCACTAACAATGACAGGAAGATTTAACACAATACACCATTATTTCCCAGTTCAAAGTCACAGTTTCTTATCCAGTAATCGCGACTTTTACCACAGCAAAACATTCGTAAACATGACCGTATTTTTACACCAGAACAATGAAATAACATCATTCAAAAAGCTAAAGTAAAAGCTCCAAAATTTCTAGTAGTACCATGCAGTAGGAACATGCAAATTTTCTTGATTTCAAACAAGGATGGGCTTCAATATTCAAGAAAACTACAAAAAGCCAAGACAAGATACAAGATATTGTGTCTTATGTCCCATCAGTAAATTCAAGCACTTTTAGTATAGCAGTGAGAAATATGGATATGTCGACGCTCGTCCATTTACTGATCCTTTCGTGGTTGGAACTTTCAAGTTAAATAAAGGAGGAAGAGTAGAGCTTTCCACAGATCAAGTCTAGTACTCAATGTTGCCAGTAAAAGCTAACAGTCTCGTTAATGTGAAAAAGAATATGCATTACATACCAGAGAAACATAAACATTTCTACGAACAGATCCTAAGTTGGGACCAATCGATTTCAATGAAGGAGAATGATGACAGTCTTATTCGGCGGGCGAACTTTCGACACCAAATTGTCTTTGTACCTGGGGCATTGATTATTAACCACTACTGGGGTAGTGGTTTATAATCAATGCCTGGGGTAATCGAAGGGTCAAATTTTATTATAGGAAATTTCGACACCGCGGCATAAAGCAGGTAGGTAGGTAATTAGCGGCGATGGACATTTGCACCCAAGCAGGACAAGCGGGTTTTCCCAATATTTATTGTCACGGCGGGGGGCGTGGCACTTGTGTACTTGTGACTAAATTATTTCAGTTGTAATTTATTTCTTGTTTTTGACGTTGACTTGTACACGTATACGGATATTTAAAAAATTAGTTTGATAAAAAGTTCCCGTGGTCGAGATTTATTAGTGGTGGAGCATCATTCGTTCTCGAAACAGAAAGTGTTAAAAAGCGGCGAGATATTTTGGCGCTGCATCTAAAGAAACACTAAGTGTTCCGCAAAAGTGTTTACAATAGGCTGTGAGGACCTCACCATCACAAGAAGTGATTTGGTACATAATCATGAAGCCGATCCAAAAAAGCTTGAGTAAAGATGGTAACCAATGCATGTAAAAGAAAACCCCAAGAGGACATATCGGAAAAGCCTGCCAAAATTACAAGAACTGCTGTTGCTGAGTGTGATGCCAATTTGCTGACGGTTCCTGACATAGCTAGCATAAGAAAGAACATTTACAACTGTCGTCGTAAACTGTTACCAGGTCCGTTACCAAGAAGCATATCAGAAGTCCATAACGCGGTTAGTAATTAATCTCCTAAAACCTGTCGCAATGAAAGTTTTTTGTTTTTAAATCATTCTGAATTAAATGTAATTGTATTCTTATGCGAGACAAATATTCGTTTGTTTCGCAGACGAATATTTTCATACATTACCAAATATTTTCTACAATTATTTACTATACATGGCTTAGAAAATGGACATTATGTTCCTTTAGCATACTGTTTGTTAAAGGACAAATTGTCAATGACATACAAAAATTTATTTTCTTTATTAAAGTCTAAGATTTTTGAAACATTTCAATTATCATTAGAGCCAACTGAAATATTTGTGGACTTTGAAAAAGCAATTTACTGTACTTTATTGTATATGTGGCCCAATGCAAAAATTAGTGGATGCCGTTTTCACTTACACCAAAACTGGTTTAAAAAAATTCAATCTTTGGGTTTGGTACAAGAATATAAGGATACAAATTCAGAAATTGGAAAATGGTTAAGGCATACGTTTGGTTTAACTTATTTACATCCAGCAGAAGTTGAAGAATGCTTTCTTTATGATTTAATGTCATATAAACCTATAAACGCAACACTTGATATATATATATATATATATATATATATATATATATATATATATATATATATATTATATATATATATATATATATCATATATATATATATATATATATATATATATATATATATATATATATGCAGATTATTTACTGGAAAATTACATTTTCGATAGCGCTCTATTTCCACCACACATATGGTCTAATCAGAATCCGTCTATTGCGAGGACCACAAATGCCTGTAAATCCTTTCATTCGAGATTTAATTTTTCTTTTTATTCAACACATCCTTCTATTTTTATTTTTATTGAAAAGTTAAAAGAATTTCAAGTAGACACTTATGTCAAAATAAATAGTTTACATATACCAGCAAAAAATTATGGATAAACTACGATCCCAACAAATACGTAGGTTAGATTTTATAAAAGCTGTATCTTATCATTCCTATAATAGCAAATAAATCATTGTATACAAGTATATTAACGGTAAAATGTACAAAAATTAGGTACTAGTTGTATTATATTTACAGTATGATATTATTACAGTTATAAAGAAATAAAATGCACATTACTTTTATTAAAATAAATAAATAAATTAATTATGGTATTTTATTTATGTCGCAGCTATATTTATTTGGTGTCGAATATACCTGTAAGATAAAAACGGGAATTGGGGCTGGTGTCGAAAATTGCCATTAAATTTTAGTCGCTACCTGCTTAGTGTCGAAATTTCCTACGCCCGTCTTATTAGTGATTTAAGTGACGATGAATAAACTGTATAAAATAACAGCATTTTTAAATAAAATAAAAAGTTTGTAGTAACAAAATAGCGCGTAGATTTTTTACTTGACTTCTAAAAGGATAACATTCCAATAAGGCACATAGTAATTACTCAATAAATGTGTACATATAAAACCTAATTGTTATATAAATATCTTCTGCTTACCCCATAATACAAAAAAGGTAATTAAAAGTTTTATGCTGTTAAAAATATTTAAAGAGATAAAATCGTTTTTGCAAAAATAAAGTTTTTGGAATTTTATCCTTTTACATTTCACTGATGCAATTGTAAATGAAAAAAGTGAAAATAACAAATAAAGAGAACTGCATAGAAAATAATGAACAACATTGAGGGACTGCTTTCATCATGAAAAAAAAACTTTAAAATATATTTAAGGTACATAGGTATATAAATCATGATGTGGGAAAGGAGAAAGAGAGGAAAAAACTGGCATATATATGCTTTGTGCATGTAAAATGCCTTGTGCCATTAAGCAGACATGAACTAGTAAAACAAGTATTGCACAAAAAAAATAAATAACTAAAAATAAGTTACAAAATTTTATCAAAATCACGGGATCTTACAGTAAAGTTTAATGAACAAAAATATTAGATATGTACAATGATCTACCATGTTAGAAATGAGCAGAGACTAAGTGACAGATACTCACGTGAGAGTATCTCACCGAAGCTAACAGAAAGAAGAAGAAAATTTCTGATCATATTGAACAATACTATGTAAAAGTAGAAATTAACAAATATTTTCAAGATCTTTATTTAAAAACAAATAACTTTTTTACCTCAGCAAATAGAATATTCTTTGCCTTCGAATTATTTACAAATCTTAATACTCATATTCATATTTTCTATAAAGATAACTGCTTGAACAACCCGCCATATTTAATTAAACAGTAACCAATATCTGCTTATTAAATTCACATATAGATCCAATTATTCAGTTAATCATTTACCTGTGCAATCATAATTGTCTTTAATCCGTTTAACCACTGCTAGAATCACTCAGTCAACTATCCCTAAGCAACCTCCACCTGCCTTTTATATGGTCATTTCCATTCACCACTTAAGTACTGCAAAGTGGGTAAGAAAAGTTTTTTAAACATGCATAATACGCAATCAGTGAATTGGATCAGAGACTAATCTATTTTTTTGCAAAACGGATTTACACATTATGCAAAAACCACACGTTTACTCACTTACCCAATTTTGACTACGAGAAAATATATATATCTGATATGGTCTGGCGCATTTTAGTTATTTTACATGGATAAGTGTGTATACATGACCCAGAATCTAATTTTTAAGGTTAATATTAGGTGAGATATTGTGTAATTCTTGATAATTGAAATAATAAGTATTTACAATGCAAATGTTGCTTTAGTTTTTCTTATTTTTTCTACAGACAAAATGTAAAGTACTATATAAAAACAATAATTTACTATGGCGCAATCCATCACTTTAACCAATTTCGCAGTTTTAAAAGATGCACAAATATACACCTGTGCAACAACTTGAGGAAAAACGAAAAACTAAAGAAATGATAGTTCTAATGTAAAAAGAAGAACTCACAAGAGCAAAAAGAAGAAACAAAGAAAAATATAATAAAAGCAATAAAGAAAAAGTATGAATAAAGATGGGAAAAGATATAGAAATTAGTAACCAAAATGATAATTCTTATCTTTATAGGTAAATAGGGTGTTTCAAAAAGGTATGTCACAAATTAAATCACGCATTTGATTGAAAAAATAAATTGATTGAAAAAAAAACTATGAGGACTTGGAACTATACAGGAAAAAAAATAAAGAAGTGAAAAGAAAAGTGGCAAATGAAAAAAATGAAAGATGGGAAAAAACATGCACAGAGATAGAACAGCACATAGAAGGAACGAGAATTTCAGAGTCATGGCGCATCTTCGCTCCAGTCGCTCCAAAGAAATAAGACAGAGAAAGTTAAGATCGGTCAAATCAAAGAAAATGAATAGTATGGAAAGACCATAAAGGAAAAATTAGAAATATATATATACAAGATAAAATCGGAGAAGACCTGCCAGGTTTCACAGCGAGGAAAGCATGCTTAGATCACATTTACACGGTCGAACAACTAATAGAAAAAAGAATGGCCAAAAATAGATCCGTCCATCGGGCTTTTGTTGATCTTAAGAAGGCATATAACTCAATACCTAGAACCAAGCTATGGGAAGCAATGGAAGACGTCGAAGTTCCACGAAGATTAATAAACGCGGTAAAAGCACTCTACAAGAATAACGAAGTAGCTATCAAAACGGGCAATGGAATATGCAGTCCATTTAAAACGACAAAGGAACTACTACAGGGTTGCTCCACATCCCCCACCTCGTTTAAAATATTCCTGGAAAAAACCCTGAAACCATGGAAAAGAAAGTGCGAAGGAATGGGTATACCAGTAAGTAACGAATATCTATATACGCTAAGTTTTGCTGACGACCAAATAGTGATCGCACAAGGCGTAGGATGACCTCAGTATTATGATGAGAAAACTGGAGCAGGAATATACAAAGAATGGGATGGAAATAAACCTAAAGAAAACTGAATACCTAACAACGGAAAATACAGAAATAAAACAGCTGGAAAAAAACGAAGGTAAACAAATCAAGAGAATAGACAAGTACAATTAAGTATTTAGGTTTCATAATATCAAACAAAGGAACAACGGAGGAAGATATAAAAAATAGACTAGGACAAACAAGAGACTGCATACGAAAATTGAACCCGGTACTAATACTAAAAAAATATATAATACCATGACAAGAAGTATCCTCACTTATGGCTGTGAAAATTGTACAATAAATAAGAAAACCAAAAACAAAATAAGAGCAACAGAGATGAAATTCCTAAGGAGAAGCTGCAGAGTAACAAGAAGAGATAGAATAAATAACATGGAGATTAAGAACAGAATGGGAGTAACCAATCAAGCAAAAAGGCAAATTTCAACCTCTCCTGAAATCTCAGAAACTAAAAACTTAAACGAAAATTTTATAACTCCAAAAAAAAATCTGCACCAAAAAAGAAGAAATTAAAAATAGCTAAAAACTATACAGACGATTTTTACGGCTTATACACCTTATTAAAAATGGTTCACTCAAAATTAAATAATAGACGCATGAAAAATAATATCACAAGAATTATAAAGAAAATAAATTCAACATATGAATCTTCTCTCACTGAAGAAAGCGACTACGATTTATCTCAATAGTCCAATTAAATTCATTCTTCAATGCAACTTGAATGGCTATTATAGCCACATTGAAAACATTAAAATGCTAATCAATGAACTGTCACCACTAATAATATGTTTACAAAAAACTCGTCTTTCCAACAACTAAGCAAAACTAAAAAATTATATGGCCTATACAAAAAATCGAGCAGTACAGCAAATATCCAGTGGTGGAGCCGTTGTACATTCAACTATCCAATCCAAAGAACTTCCGTTAAATACGAATCTGGAAGCAGTAGCAGTTTCGGTAATACATCATTTAAAATCAACATATGCAACGTATATTTACCACATCCTGACGAAACTACTCTATTAGAACTTCAAAATGTAATTGAACAAATTCCATCTCCAAAATTAATTTTGGGTGACACAAACTGTCACAACATCGCATGGGGATCCAAAAAACTGATAAAAATGGACGAATATTATTAGAAACAATTAATAACCTAGAACTAGCTTTGCTAAACACAGGAACACCTACTAGATTCAATGCACATAATGGCACATTTTCCTCCATAGACTTATCTATCAGTGATTTAACTTTAGCTCCATTTTTACAGTGGAATACATTGGACCACCTATACGACAGTGATCATTTTCCAATAATAATTACTCATGACAAAGATGAAAAAATCTGTACAACACCATATGAAACGTGGAAATTAAAGTCAGTTGATTGGCAAAAATACTCGAACTTAGTAAGTACACGTATACCAAATCTCGTTATAACAGATAATATAGACCCTACTCTATCGTCTTTCAACGGTATAATTTTAGACGCAGCCAGAGATTCTATAGGAAAAACTAAAAATATCACAAAAGCTCCTCTTCTTTGGTGGAACACTGAAATTGCATCCGCTATAAAGCAAACAAGACATGCTTTTAGTATAAACAAGAAGTATAACACACCTAATAACTTAAACAATTTTAGATCTTTAAGGGTCAGATCTAGATTTTTAATAAAGAAAGTAAAAAAAGAGAGCTGGACCAATTATGTGTCGTCAATTGACTCGTCTACGCCCATAAGGGATATATGGCAAAAAATAAAAAAAATAAAAGGTTCAAAAACATTTAACCATATTGACACAATAACTACAAACGATCTAACAACTTCAGACAAACATGACATCTCAGAAATTTTAGTAGAACACTATCAGTTGTATTCAAGCAATCAGCAGTACCACCCACATTTCTTAGAACATAAAGAAAGAACAGAAACATCAAAAATTAACATAGAAGATACTGCTAGTCCACTAAACACTTCCATAACACTTGATGAATTAAATGAAAGTCTTAATAACCTCAAAAATACCTCACCTGGACCTGATGACATACCACCAATTTTCATCGAAAAACTACCTATTAGCGCGAAGGTTACTTTAGTAGAGATCTTCAACAAAATTTATTCGACCCATAAGTTTCCATCTCTCTGGCGCGAAGCAATTATAATACCATTTTTAAAAGACAACAAACCAAAAAACTTATCTTCTTCGTATCGACCAATATCTCTTACCTGTAGCATCTGCAAAATAATGGAAAAGATTCTAAGCAAAAGATTAAAATGGTACTAGAAAAGAAAAATCTCCTTACACATCCAAAGTGGGTATAGATCAGGACGGTCTACAATAGATAATATTATAGCAGTAGAATCTGAAATACACGAAGCTTTTATACATAAACAAAAATTAATAGCAATTTTCTTTGACATTACAAAAGTATTTGACACCACGTGGACATATCACATCTTAAAAACAATGAAAGGTTGGAACATAGATGGCAAATGCTTAGCCTTCACCAAAAACTTCCTGGAGAACAAGTATAAAAGTTAAAACAAACGGTGTCATGTCAACTAAGAAATCACTGAAAAATGGTATCCCTCAAGGACCTGTATTAAGCCCCCTGCTGTTTTTAATAGCAATCAACAATGTATCTAACCATTTTATGCTTCCAGTAAAAGCAAACCTTTACGCCGATGATCTTGTAATATATATGAGAAGTAAAAACCTAAAATCAGCTGCATCAATATTACAAAATACACTAAATAAATAAGAAGGGTGGTCTTTAGATCTAGGCTTGAGATTTTCAACCGAAAAAACTAAAGTAATAATAAAAAAAATTTATCTCAAATCGTTTATAAAAGGTATATAATAAAATGCCCAAACGGGCTATCACAAATATGTTACAAAACGTTTTCGGATTGTTAAATCCATCATCAGTGTAAACGAAGTATACATGCTATGAGCCACCAAAATATATAAGTCAAAACCCTTTAAATGATATTAATTTACAGTTGCTTTACATTATATGTGGTTGCAAATTATGATGTTTAAGTTACCGTTGAAATTGGTAACATGGCGATGTATGACCCTACATAGGTAAAAATTTTTTTTAAAATCATGCCAATTTAGCACTAATAAAAGACAAGCTATACATTGCCCAAACATGTGGTAAAAACATAAAATTTTTATGGGTACCATCCCATGTTGGAATAAAGGGTAATGAAGCAGCTGATAAAGCAGCAAGAGAAACTATCCATAACATGACAATTCCTACTATGCAAAGCATACCAATCTCAGACCAAAAAACATTAATAAAAACTTATATTAACAAAACCTGGTAAGTAAAATGGAACCAAACAGAAGCAAAATTTAAAATTATCAAACCAGATGTTATTTCTGCTTTACTACCGCTCCCAGCTCAAAGACATAACCAAGTAATTATTAACAGACTGCGGCTAGGCC